CCCCCAGAAGTTTAAGGGGGGGACTCGGACGAGAGATCCCCTATTCAGCACCTGGCAAGGCTGAGATGGCTGTGCTGGATGGGGAGGTGGGCGTGATAAGGAGGGTCTACCTAGCCCAAAGAGGCTGCGGTGATGATGGATCCGGTCGTGGCTCTCCCAGGGAGAGAGACCGGCCTTAATCATGGCTTAATCATAGTTTACTCCCAGCCCTGCTTTGCTTTGATCATGGTTTGCTGATCGGCGGTAACTGTTGGGTTTGTATAATTTTCCAAGCCACAAATGAGCAAGCTTTACAGAATAAAAGAGTTGAGCTTGGAGGTCTTCTAGCTCAACCCCCTGCCCAAGCAAGAGATCCTATACAATTCTTGACAAGTAATAGTAATAATAATCGTAATAATAATAAAGTTGGAAAGGACCTTGGAGGTCATCTAGTCCAACCCCCTGCTCAGGCAGGAAACCCTAAACCATTTCAGACAAATGGCTGTCCAGTCTCTTCTTAAAAACTTCCAGTGTTGGAGCATTCACCGCTTCTGGAGGCAGGTGGTTCCACTGGTTAATTGTTCTGTCTGGAAGTTTCTCCTTAGTTCTAGGTTGCTTCTCTCCTTGATTAGTTTCCATCCGTTGCTTGTTGTCCTGCCTTCAGGCGCTTTGGAGAATAGCTTGACTCCCTCTTCTTTGGGGCAGCCCCTGAGATATTGGAACACCGCTATCATGTCCCCCCTCTTCATTAAGCTAGACATACCCAATTCCAGCAACCGTTCCTTATGTGTTTTAGCCTCCAGTCCCCTAATCATCTTTGTTGCTCTTCTCTGTACTCTTTCTCGACTCTCAACATCTTTTTTACATCGCGGTGACCAAAACTGGATGTAGTATTCCAAGTGTGGCCTTAACAAGGCATTGTAACGTGGTATTAATACTTCACGTGATCTTGATTCTATCCCTCTGTTAATGCAGCCCAGCACTGTGTTGGCCTTTTTGGCAGCTGCAGCACACGGCTGGCTCATATTTAAGTGATTGTTCACTAGGACTCCGAGGTCCCTCTCACAGTTACTACTATTGAGCAAGGTACCCCTTATACTATACCTATACATTTGGTTTGTCTAATCTTCTTAAAAGTCTCCAGAATTGAGTATTTACAACTTTTGGGGGCAAGCCATTGCACTGATTAATTGTTCTAAATGTGAGGAAATTCTCCTTAGTTCTATCCTGCATCTCTCTTTGATTAGCTTTCAGCCATTACTTCTTGTTCAGCCTTCAGGTGCTTTGTCAAATAGGTTGTCCCCCTCTACTTTCGGACAGCTTCTCAACTATTGGAAGATTGCCATCCTGTCACTCCTAGTCCTTCTGTTCCTTTGACTAGACATAACCAGTTCCTGCAACATTCCTCTTATGTTTCCCCTAATCATCTTTGTTGCTTTTCTCTTACTAGCCTGAACATTTTTTTTCTACTGTGACACAAAAGATACAAAACCCAAAAGATGGATTTGGACCCAATTTGGAATTTCAAAACAAGTTTATGAATAAACGGTATGAAAACGCTTGGGCGGTAGCAAAGAAATCCCAGGAGTAGCACTTCAATTTAATATGAATTTCCTCGCAACGTTTTGGAAAGAAATATGATATCACAGGTTCAAGACGGATATCAGCTCTTCAAGGGAGGCTAAATCAGGAAACCAAACCCAGAAAAGTTCCAGAATTCTTATTTTATTGATATAGCCTAGAGTAACGGAATCTTGTGGTCGGAATGGTGGTAGCCATGATATTTCCTGTGACCTGCAGAAGAGAAAGTTGGACAAGAGGAGGAGGATAGGAAGTGTGTGGCAGTTTTGGAACTTTAGTGTTGGAGAACTATGCCGAGATTATTATGGATAGCCAAGTAATTACATGCTTATCATTTACACATGAAGTAGTTGAGTTTCAAATTCTCCCTAATAGTCTCTTTGTCAAAGCAAGAATATACAGTATTTGCAGCATTACGTCTCTGTAACCTTAATAAATGCTTTTAGGAAAAAATATGCCTGAAAGTCCTTTTAAGTGTTTCGTTAATCAGACACATGACACTCTTGTTCAATCCCAAATATAATTTCATCTACTTTAAATCTTTCTCTTAACTCTACATAAGAAAAAGATGAAAAGAGTAAATCCCTCTGCAATCAGTTGACCTCTTTACCTTTGCTCTCCTCTAAGCTGAATCTTCTGATGTCTCCCTTTTGACACCTCCAAGGTGTTGTTTTTGAGAAAAGCATTTCCCACATTGTCCATATTTATAGGGCTTCTCTCCTGTGTGCCCCTTCTGATGTCTCTGGAGTTCAGCAGACTCCACAAATCCCTTGTCACATTCTGGGCATTGATAGGGCCTGTCTCCGGTGTGAATTCTCTCGTGTCGAATTAGGTGTGACCTTTGGGAGAAACATCTCACACATTCTGAGCACATTTCATTTTTCTTTCTTTCTACACGCTTGTAAGGCTTCTTTCCTGTGTGAATCGTCTCGTGTTTTCTAAGATAAGCCATTGGATTGTATTGAGAAATAAAAGATTGCTTTATCTAGAGGGACATGATCTTCAATTAGGTTGGCATGCTTTTATATGGTATGAGAAAACTAAAGCACATAAATACTTTCAAAACCATGCAGTAAGAAACGTACTATTCTCAGAATGGGAGAAAATCAAACATAAAATATATATGAAAATACCTGAGTGGCTTTCAACAATGGAAGCATTTGCTTATCCAAACCTGATTAATTATGATAAACTGGTTAGTTATAAAGATATTTTGGACAAAGAGGGAAAACTTAAGGACAGGCAAACTCTTCAACAAGGTATTGATCTGACATGGTGGTCCTATTTGCAAATTCAAACAAGATAGGAAAAAGATGTAAAATTAACAGGATTTTATAAAGAACAGACTCCACTAGATAAAATTTTGTTAAAAACAGATGAGAACTTAAGAAACTCTATAAATTTCTTTTAAACTGGAAGATGGAAGAAGAACAAATGAAAGAAACAATGATAGTATGGGCAAAGAACTCTGGATATTCTATAGATTTAGAAGATTGGCAAAAACTTTGGGATAAAAATATTAAGCTTACAAAAGCGGCAGCATATGAAGAAAACTTATATGTTTTACAGATGGCATATGACACCAGTTCGCTTAGCGAAAATGTTTAAAAATGTTTTGGATATTTGTTGGAAATGTAAGCAACAACCAGGCACTTATTACTATGTCTGGTGGATATGCCCAATGCTAAGAAATACTGGTCTAAGATTCATAGATGGCTGAAAAAGATGATGAAAATACAGATAGAATATAAACCGGAATTGTTTTTGTTAGGAATATTAAGACCTAATTATGGTAAAGAGAATGATTATCTGATACTGCATGTTTTAACAGCTGCGAGGATAGTATTTGCCCAATATTGGAAAAATGAGAATCTACCATCTGACCAGACTATAATTACTAAAATCTTAGAGTGTGCAGAAATGGATAGATTAACGTTGGAGATGAAAGAAAAAGATGATTCAGTTTATTTTATAACTTGGGATAAATTTTATCAATGGTTAGAGACACGTTAGAATTTGAAAAGGATCTAACATCTCAGATTAGATGATTGATTTCTAACCAAGTTCTAATTAATAGGTAGATGACATTGTTATTTTTAGTGATTTAGTGATTTTTATCTATTAATGTTGATAGTTAGGATTTTCTGAGATTTTATTATTCATGTTTATTTAATAGATGAATTTATTTGTTTATTAACTGTTTGTAATATGGCTATAGTTAAGCTTATTTTAAGATATTCACTCATTATTATGATCCGGACAGTTGTTTGTTTGTTAAAATATGTGATTGTACCTTTCCTTATTTTATCCTAAATCCCCTATTTCCTTTCCCCCCTCCCCCTCCCTTTACCATACCCATATTGTTCCTAATTTTCCCTTATCTATATAAACTCAATAAAATATTGTTAAAAAAAGAATTCAGATGCTTGGCAACCAGCTCATACTTATGACCGTTGCTGTGTCCCAGGGTCACGTGACCCCCTTTTGCAGCCTTCCTTCTGACAAGCAAAGTCAATGGGGGAAGCCAGATTCATTCAACAACCGCGGGACTAACTTATCAACTGCAGTGATTCACTCAGCAACTGTGGGAAAAAAGGTCATAAAATGGGGCAAAACTCACTTAAGAAATGTCTCATTTAACAAGATAAATTGTGGTCCTACATCAAGGATTGCCTGTATATATTTCCTGGATTCGTAAATCCTGCTCAGCTCAAAAGAGACTTTTCGTGGCTTCCAAGATCTTAGCAGAATACTTAGCTTTTTTTCTTTTTTTTGTCTGCACCCCCCATAGACATTTTTTTCTTTTTCACTGTCCCTTTCCCTTTTTCTTTTTAAATTCTTACAATCACAGAGCTACAAGGGACCTATCACAGAATAACAAGAATCGTAGTTTTCTAGTCCAACCCTCCTTGCCCAAAGCAGGAATCCTTATATGATTCCAGAGAATTTCACATTAGATTTTAGATTTTCACATTGACATTCACATTTTAAAATTAAATTTTTTTTTTACAAAATTATAAATTTTTTAAGTTGGCAAGAAAATTTCCAAGGAGACCATTTCAAATGGACCAACTCCAGGAGACAAGATGTTCCAATTGGCAAGGAAACATTTTCTCATGCTACACATTTGTCAAGGTTTTTCTCCTGTGTGGATTTTTCAAGGGCATCTGAAAATCTGATTATCAGGTAAAAACTTTGGCCACATCCTAAGCTCTGATAAAGTTTCTCTCCAGTAAGAATTCACTGATGGTGAAAAAGAGTATTTTAGATTAAACTCGAAACATTTAAACTCGAAACATTTATGATACATCTTTCCTATATGGATTACAGTATGATTTTTAAGGGATGATTGACAAAAAATGCTCTCTCAGGATCAAAGATTTTCTAATTTTAGGAACTTTTACATGACCTCTCAGTGTGAAACAACTATGAAAAACTGTTCCACCATCAGGGCCTGTTAGGCCTTCTCCCGTGTGAGTTTTCTGATATTTCCCTCTTGAGCAAAAGATTTCTACACTCTATGAGTCTTTATGGCTTCATTCTTTTATGGACCTTTTGATGACTTCCGAGGTGTTGTTTTTGGGAAAAGCATTTTCCACACTCCACACATTTATACGGCTTCTCCCCTGTGTGGATTCTCTCATGAACCCGAAGCAGTGTTGCTGTGAGAAAACCTTTCGCACACTCCCCACATTTATAGGGCTTCTCTCCTGTGTGCCCCCTCTGGTGTCTCCGGAGTTCAGCAGACTCCACAAATCGCTTATCACATTCTGGGCATTGATAGGGCCTGTCTCCGGCGTGAAGTCTCTCATGTCGAATTAGGTGTGACCTCATGGAGAAACATCTCCCACATTCTGAGCACATTTCATTTTTCTGCACAGACCTGATACGCTTTTTTTCTTTGTGAACCGTCTCGTGTTTTCTAAGATATTGTTGGCAAGAAAACGACTTCCCACACTCAGGACATTTATATGGTTTCTCTCCACTGTGGGTTCTCTGATGTATCAAAAGGCTATATCTCCTAGAAAAACATTTATCGCACTCCGAGCATTTATGGGGCTTCTCTCCTATATGGGCTTGCCAGTGACTTCTAAGATTAGATGAATGAATAAATGCTCTCCCACAGTCTAAACATTTGAAATTTCTTTCCCCTCTGTGAATTTTCTTATGATGTCTGAGGTTTGATATCGAACGAAAAAATTTTCCACACTCGATGCACTGATAGGGTTTCTCCCCTGTGTGGATTATCTGATGTTGAAAAAGTCTTCCCTTTACAGAAAAACATTTCTCACAATCGTTACATTTATAGGGTTTTTCTCCCGTGTGCGTCTTTTGGTGTGTCCAAAGTGCGGAAGAATGCCCAAATCGTTCCTCACATTCCGGGCATTCATGGGGTCTTTCCCCAGTATGGATTCTCTGGTGTCGCTGCAGGGTTGTTTTGCGGGAAAAACATTTTCCACACTCCAGACATTCATAAGGTCTCTCCCCAGTGTGGATTCTCTGATGTCGCCGCAGGGTTGATTTGCTGTAAAAACATTTCCCACATTCTAGGCACGTTCTGCTTTCCTCCTCTGTGTGTGTTTTATGATGTTTGCAAAGTGATGAATTCCGAGTGAAACATTTTCCACACTTGAAGCATTTATAAGGTTTTATTTCCATGTGAATTTTCCCGTGGATTTTGAGACTTGTTTTCCGAATAAAAGATTTCCCACACTCCAGACATTGATAAGTTTTTTGTCCAGTGTGGATTTGTTGATGTTTAAGCATCTCTGAGTTCTGAGAAAAGCAAAGCCCACATTGCACACAACTGCAGGGGTTTCTCTTCGGTTGGGCTGTTCTGAGGCCTGGAAAAACACTGAGGCCTTCCTGAGGTCTCTTTCCCTGGTGGATACGCTAAGGAGCTCCGATGTCCCAGCCTTTAGCAAAATGCTTCCCACACTCTCCACATTTGTAGGGCTTCAGTCCGGGGTGGCTCTGGAGATGTTTGGGAAAGCTTCACAACCACGAAAGGAGTTCCCACACTTCAAACACAGATGGGATCCATTCCTCATGTCCAGCGTCCGGTTAATCAAAGGGAGGAATTTGTGAGCAAAGGATATCCCGCAATCAGAGCACTTGAAGAGTCTCTCCTGGTTCCTCTGAGGGGAGCTTCTATCGAAGTATTTCTCCACCCAGCATAATTTCTGGCGCCTTCTCAGTTGTAGGGCTTTCTAAAGGGAGAAAATCTCAGAACTGGAACTTTGTCCACTTTTCCCAGTGTCCCCTGCTGGATGAAGAAAAAAGAAAAGAAGAAAGATTTGTGATGGCTGACAGAATAGCAATAGCACTTAGACATATAGATCGCTTCACAGTGCTTTATAGAGTGAGCATATTGCCTCCCCAACAATCTGGTCCTCATTTTACTGACCTCGGAAGGATGGAAGTCTGAATTAACCTTGAGCTGGTGAGAATCAAACTATCGGCAGAATTAGCCTGCAATACTGGATTCTAACCACTGCGCTATCACGGCTTTCCCTGTTGCTCCCCATTTTTCTGCCCAAATTGTTAATGATCCCTGCCTTTTCCTTTTTCTCAGTTGTGTGTGTGTGTGTGTGTGTGTGTGATGCTCTATGATGTGAAAAAACAGGCAAAGACCCCCGCCCCAGACTTTGTAGCTCCAATGCAGACTGAACATGGGCTCCTCCTAAAACGGCTTTCTATTATTCCTTTATAGTTTAGGGAGGGTGTAAATATGTTCATCAGGGTCAGCAATACCTCATGGTGGGGGTTGAGACCCCCACTTCCCCAAAGGGAGACTGATGGCTTCCTTTGGCCAAAACGTCCACCTGGTGGTCCTACCTGCCCAAGATAGACTTTGGGCTCCAACGTCAGCCAGTTTCTTTCTGCTACATGTGTTGCATCCACCCAACCACTCGAGTCACTTCACCAAGGGCAGCAGCACCAGAAACCATGGTTAAACTATCAATGCTTTAGTTGAGGGATGTGTATTTTCTGGTCTGTAAATTGTAGTGGCGAAACCCTCTCACACTACCCCACTTTGAGTTTAAAATAGAACACCGGAAATGCCAAATTGTTTTAATATCATGCCATAATTGTTCAAAAAGAGGAGAGTATAAAGTAGTAAAAGGGAAAGCCACAGTAACTTAAGACGTCAAACTCCTGAACCAGTTCAGGTTGTAGGTAGGACTTAGGGAAGAAGAAGGAATCCCCCCCCCCATTCCCTCTTTCCCCCTTTTCCCATCTGCAGCTCTGTTCATTTTTCCCTTCCTTTCCCCTCCATTTCTCTCCCAAGCTTCTTCTCCCATTCACTAGTTTCCTTTCTAAATCAGGCACCAAGAAGCAGGTGCCGCATCACAGCCTCTTCCGAGGAAAAACAAGGGAAATAACGGTTTTTAGAGATTCTATCCAGCTTTGTAGAAACCAAAGAAAATCCAAGCATTGGAACAAAATCCAGGATATTCGTTTCTCTCTATTTAGATTAAGCAGAAAGAAAGTGGATCTTTTCTGCGTTGGGGGAATAGGAGGGCTTAAATCCCAGTTACAAAGGAGGAGATATAAGAAATATACCCAAGACAAATAAAGGACTCAAATGCCCATACACTAACACTCAAAGTTTAGGGAACAAATAGGGTGAACTTGAAGTATTAGTATGTGAAGGTAGATATTATATAGTTGCCATTATTGAAACTTGGTGGGATGAAACTCATGACTAGAATATACTTAATGTGGAGAAAAGGAAGGTTTTACATATAGGCAGGAAAAACTAAAGGTGCAAATAAAGATTAGGGAAAACCTGGCTCAAAAACAGTTAACTGTGAGAGGGACATTGGAATCAAGTGTCGAAATAAACATGAACCATCAGTGTGCAAAAGCATCCAAAAAAGCTAATACAATCCTTGGTTGTATAAATAAGAGTCGTAGAATCAAAATCACAAGAAGGATTAGTATAGCTTTATAAAGAGCAAGTAAATTAGTAAGACCACACCTGGAATACTGAATCCAGGTTTGGTCACATTACAAAACAGATATTGAGACCCTGCAAAAATGGGCAAAGGAGAGGAACTAAAATGATTAAAGGCCTGGAAACAAAAACATGTGAAGAACGGTTGTAGGAATTGTTTATGGCCAGTTTAGAGTAAAGATGGACCAGGGATGACATGATAACAATATTCCAATAAAGGGGGGGCTACCACAAAGAAGAGGGCGTCCACCTATTTTTCAAAGCACTTGAAGGCAGGAAAAGAAACAATTGATAAAAACTAATCAAAGAGAAAAGCAACCTGGAACTAAGCAGAAACTTCCTAACAGTGAAAACAATTAAACTGTGGAACAGCTTTGCCTTCAGAAGTTGTTGGTGCTCCATCACTGGAGGGTTTTAAGAAGAGACTGGACAGCCACCTGTCTGGAATGGTATAGGGACTCCTGCTTGAGGAGGGGGTTGGACTAGAAGACCTCCAAGGTCCCTTCCAGCTCTATTTTGATTGATAAAACCCACCAAGGGGCTGCCACCTCACAGCCTCTTCATAGCAAAACAAGGAAAATAATGATTTTTTTTTCAGATTCTGTCCAGCTTTGTAGAAACAGAAGAAAAAGAATTAGAACAAAATCAAAGAATATTCATCCCTCTCTATTTAGATTAAGCAGAAAGAAAGTGGATCTTTTCTGGGTCGGGAGAACATGAGCTCAATTCAAGCAATTTAAAGGTTTTTCCCCCCTTAAACCAACATCCCCCCCGCATTGAAGGGAGAAGGCGGGTCTTTCTTTCCATTGCCCCATAATTCCCCCCCACGAATCTTTAAAAAGAAAAGCCCCCCCTTTCCCTCCGTGGGGCGAGCCCCCCCCTTTCCCCGCAGGCTCCCCGTCCAGCCCTGCATCCACCCGGGATCCTCGCAGGCTCAGCCACCCTACGGGGACCCAGGGGGGACTCGGGGCTACCTTCCTCCTGGCCGGCCGAGGGAGAGCAGGAGCAGCCCCACCTGCCCGGAGCGGGGCCGAGGAGCAGCCTTGCCGGACGCCCAGAAGTTGCACCGCCGCCCAAAATGCCCCAAGTGGGGAAAAGGCGGAAAAGGAAAATCCTCCGCAACGGAGCTCTGAAAAGTCAGAGCTGGAAGGGGGGTGGAGAGGGAGAACGAGAGGAACATCCTAGAGAGGCGCCTAGGAGGCGTCTCCTCGCCCTTTCCGGTTCCATTTCCTCTCCCACGGGAGAGGGCGCTCTGGCCCCTCATTCCTCTCCTCCTCCGGTGGATCGGCCGGAGTTTCGGGGCTTCCCCCTCGGAGGGCGCCGCGCGAGCCGCCTCTTTGAGAGCCGGGCGGAGTCTGGAGAATCGGGAGTTTCCTCCCTTTCTCCTCCCCGGGATTGGAAAGAGGCGGCCGGGGATCCTCGCTCCCTGCTTCCCCCGAAGTTTGGGGGAGACTCGGACGAGGGATCCCCCATCCGGCACCCGCAAGGCTGAGATGGCTGTGGAGGATGGGCTGCGTAGTAGGGAAGTGGGCATGATGAGGGTCCGCCTAGCCCAAACAGATTGTGGTGATCATGGAACCGGGCGTGGCTCCTCCAGGGACAGAGACTGGCCTTAATCATGGCTTAATCATAGTTTACTGCCAGCCCTGGAAGTCAGCCCAGCCCTCCGTCCAGGGCCCGCCGACAGGTCTCCCTGAAGCAGAGGCGGCGGTGCTGCCTCCAGGAAAGCGAAGGAAACCTCCCCCGTCCTTCTCCCAGGAGGTGCCTCGCCTTTCGTGATTTCCTACGGAGCTCCGTCTCCACTTAGGGACGCTTCTTTCCTTGTATGTTGAGCCCAAATGGGGCTCTGGGAGCTGGAAACAGCAAGCAGATGGAGCCACGTTGCATGCCGGGATCATGGGTTGTACGGGACGGTGATTTGTCTGCTTTAGTATCTAGTCTACATTTTCCCCTATTCTGCATCTCAGAGCATCAGGAAACACCATCCGATAAGCTTTGCTTTGATCGTGGTTTGCTGACCGTGGGGTAACTGGTGGGTTTGTATAATTTTTCCAGCCACAAATGAGGAAGCTTTACAGAATAACACAGTTGAAGAGCTTGCAGGTCTTCTAGCCCAACCCCCTGCCTAAGCAAGAGATCCTATACCATTATAGACAAGTGATTGTCTAGTATCTTCTTAAAAGCATCCACCGTGGAGCACTCACAACTTTTAAAGACAAGCTGGTGCACTTATTGTTCTAAATATTAGGAAATTTCTCCTTACTTCTAGGGGGGGGATCTCTCCTTAATTTCTAGCCATTGCTTTTTGTTCAGCCATCACTTGCTTTGGAAAATAGGTTGTCCCCTTCTTCGTGACACTTTCTCAATTGTTGGAAGACTGCCCTTTTGTCACTCCTAGTATTACTCTTCGTTCGACTAGACATAACCAGTGTCTGACACCATTTGTCTTTATGTTTCAGCCTCCAGTCATCTACTCATCTTTGTTGTTCTTTTCTGCACCCTTATTTATTTATTTATTTTATTTATTTTATTTTTTGGATTTATATCCCGCCCTTCTCCTGTAGGACTCAGGGCGGCTGACAATCTATTTAAAATACATACAAAACAATACAAATTTAAAATTAATTAAAAGGAATATTTAAATATTTGTCAAATTTTAAAATATAATTAAAACCCCCCTAAAAATTACCCTAGGCCAGTCCTGCAAGCTGGAATAACCA